TTGATAATCCTGTAAATATACAAGCTCAATAATTATTTACAACACAATAATTTTTTATCTGTAACCATTTCCGGGTCCCCTTGTAGGAATTGACCATTTGTTCCCACCTGGCACCCAATTTTATCAAGTTTTTATGAGTCTGCCATTTCAAAGCGAAAATGCAATTAGAAAAATAGGTCAACCAATTCAATCAAAATCCAACGTAGCAGGGCATTATTTTTGACGGGCGTTTGCGTGCTCGCGCCCGTCTGCGCCTGTAATCTTGAAAACACAAGCGCAGGTTATAGCTCCTGCTAAAAATTCAGACAATTTCGACAGTTTTATCAAGAAAGTCGAGCTTGAAAAGTTAAATAAAACATTATTGTATCCGAAAATCGTGAAGGGTAGTTTTGTTATGGTATCGAGATATTTGGGTTGAAGATTATTAGCTCGGTTGTCAAGTCTCTCCATGACGTTTGCATTCACGATAGATTATTATTTATTAGTGATAGTATTACATTAGTAATAAACGATTGATCGTTTTTAAATTAAATGCTTTCCGTGTTACGGCGTTAGTTTTGTAAGAGTTTTTGAATGTGAAATTTGAATAAATATAACGTTATGAATTTCTGTTGTGGTCATATATAATATCAGAAAGCGTCTGGATAATCACCTTATAAATACATTCCTTTCCCGCCTTTGGCATTGAACCAGAGATTTACTCGAACGTCCAAGGTAGTGTTTTCTGTTGTAAGCATAAGACCGGTAAATCGAGTACTTGACAACAAAAATATGGCATGTTCAATGAGCGTATTCGTCTGCTAGAATTTGGATACAATCAATAGAAATAAAAAAAGCTCTTGCGAGCAAATTTGCGGGTGCGTTTTTATGTGCTCCCAGAAATTTAAGTGCAAGAGCTTTTGGTGACTCCTGCATGTTTTACAGAAATGATGCCCTGACGTAGCATGATGTAAAGACACTGAGTTGGGTAAAAAATGTAAAAAAAAGAAATATGGATATTAATTAATGCTCTAAACATTAATTTTTCAATATGTACGTCAAAATTGTCAGACTTTGAATATTGATGCCTAACTCTCATTGCTATGATGCCCAATAATAAAAAATATTTCCAAATGAAATATACTGATAATTATACTACCACAATCAGGGCCTGACCACAATATTCATGTAACATAGCCTACTTAATTTTTTCCCATTGATCGTAACTAAATAAACCGTCATGTTGTTATATAACAATTTCAAAGTGCAATAAAAAAATAGACTGGAAATGGAAACTACAAGCGGACATCACATTTGGCATTGTAGAGTGCAAAATAGATTAGTCACTACATGCCTGTCTGTAATTAGTCTACTGATCTTTTTCTGGCTGATTGACATGCCTGGATAATCGTTTATTTTATACAGAATAATGGAACTACAGAAAGGTAGAACAAGAAATCTAATTTAGTAACTTGTGAGGCAACTCAACGATTACTTTAAGTAACAGGGCCTGGATTATTCAGTCTAGCTCTCGAGGTGATCGAGGACCACTCTACCACTCCACTGGCCACATCAATATTAAATCTATAGTATAACTTACTATAATAAGAAAGCTTATATTTATTATAATAAAAAAATATTATCATCATTACCTCCTCGCAAAAATAATAGAGTACTGAACATGGATAATGCAATCGGACAAAATACACCAGAGAATGTTCCCAATGTTCTCCGGGCTCCTGATTCATTTTGACGGCTTTTGTCCCCTGCTGCTGTACTCAAACTTCGCGGGACTCGAAAAGTCAGTGGTTGTGTCCGACCTGCAAGACTCTGTCTATGTATTCCTAATCCTTGGTGATTTTCCTGTGCAGAATCGCTGCTTTCAGCTCCTGGAGTCGAAGACCCATAGTCATAATGATCTTCGATTTCGTCACCTAAAATCGGACGTCTGTCTTCTGACATGTTCGGTACTGATTGTAACTGTTCCATACATGAAACTTAGCCTAGTATTGAAATCAGTGCAATTTGTTTTCGTCTGTTCAGCTGAACCGGAAAGCACATGACATGAATCATCGCTCTGTTCATGCGTATTTCTGGAGAAATTCGGGCGTTCATATTGAGGTAAAATTCGGGTGGATTAGATTTGATTATTTTTAAAACATAACTGTTAATTTTTTTTTAGAAAAGCACGGTAAAGATAGGTTCCCAGAAAAATATTTATCGGGTGGTTTTTCCAATAATGATATGGTAATTTTGGTATATATGGAAAGTAGAGATACCCAATCTTACTAGAAAAATACAGGATTCCCTTAAAAACATTCATTGAGCGTTTACAGGACAAAAATGTCAGGGTTCACCTAATCGACATCCCGACAATTAGGAATATCTGCACGCGTGACGTCATAGGTTGCACGCGGAGATTGAGCGCTTGATGTAGGCCCCTAGACATGTTGATAAACTTCATGAAGAGTTAGACGTACAACACTTTCTGAGATAAAAATCACGAAAAAAGACGCCGGTAGTGGATAATCCGAGAATTTAATTAGGATTTGATATTTGTTATAAATAGTCGGCGATTAAAGACAACATCGTCTTGTGTATGCAATGAATTCTCCTCCGACTTCGCACCCGTAAGTCAGGTGACACAAACATGACCTCTTTTGATCGATTTTTTATAGCAAGGATATTCCTTGACAATTACAATGTTTTGAGAAGGAATTGAAGCAAATTTATGATAAATTAATTAATTTGAATATGTTTTTAGGCCAAATATATCATCAAATCACTAAGTGTGTACGCGGGAATGTATCTAGCGTCGGTATTTTATTATAGATTAATAGATAAAAATGGGTTGACCCCCCCCCCCCCCAATACTACATTATCATCATGTCACGAACTGGAGAATACGGGGTAGGTTATACCTAAAATTTATATTGCTATTTTGGTTGTTTATTTTCCAATAATTAAATAATTTAGATTAATAAGCAAAAATGGTAAATGATTCTTAAAGGTTACAAAATATGTCACCAACTGGTTCGATATACACAAAACAATTATATTATACGGTTATACAAAAAATCTATATTGCTATTTAGGTGGTTCAAATTTTATCTATTTATAACCAAACCATAATTGAAAACCTTAAACACATAAAGCTAAGTAATCAATAGTGCGCCTATGTCATCTATTTAGATAACTTTAACCTGCATGAGTTGAGAAAATAGTATGAATAAACCTGCCACTCCCTATTAACATAACAACGGGTATTTTTACATGCGAATTATGGGGCTACACGGCTGTGGATATTTGTTTCGTTATTCAATACCTACAATCCATTATTAATTTAATATACCCCAATTTTTTTTTTAAAATTGAAAGAAATGTTGCTTTGACTGCTCCTCGTCAGCCGATGTGTTCCCAGATCATAACCGTATGTTACATCCGAGCGTCAAGCTAAAAGAGTCATATATTTAATTTTGATTCGCATTTTTCCATGACCAAGGCTGACCTTAAAAATATCTTTGTTTCGCCTAACGCGACCGACTAACTAAAACCACCCCCGACTTAAATTATTTTATTGCACTTTTCCGCGATCTTTTTATTTTATTTTGTGTGTCAACCTGAAATATATCACGAGAGTTATTTCCCTTTACTATGGCTATAGTTTGATTCATTATTGAAACTGGTTGATCAAGACGAAAGCGTTATAGGTGTCGCTTCTCAACAAAATGGTTGCAGACGAAAGCACGTCTATTCCCACGAAATGATTCTGCCTCTATGTCTGTGGGGCGTCGTTTTAAAAATGACGAAGATATTTTCAATATCCGTTTTCGAGAAAAATGAAGGCACAACCCGCACGATCGTTAAAAACGTGTTGAAGGGGTTTCACACTTAGAGTTCGTGGCAAATCGTGTGCGAGTCTCGGAGTCGTGCATCACGAAAAATCCCGATGTCATACTCATTGATTTGTTTGACAATAAAAGAAGACGAATGTTTCCCCCCCCCCCCAGAAAATTATCAAGCTGTCAAATTAGCTCTTTAAAAAAAAATCTGAAAAAAAACCCCGACCTACCGACCCTTCTCCTCGATTGTGGGTCGGGTTTGGCGAAACAAAGATATTTTTAAGGTCAGCCCAAAAAGTATTGTATAGAATACTCATAACTTCCAAGCGCAGTTTCATTTTCTGATGTGGGAGGGGTGGGAGGGAAGGAGGGAAGGAAGGGATTGGGCGAATGGTTAGCGTGGGCGCTGTATCATACGTTCTGTCATTGAGTCAACTGGCGGTGTGTCGATTCCCCGGTTGTACGTGACAAGGCGTAGAGTCGCCTGTCCAGCCTCGTGGGTTTTCTCCGGTTTCCCTCCCACATCAGCTAAAGACCCCTATACGCGCAAGCGAATTATTGAAATAAAACTGACCATATGTTAGTCCCGAAATGACCTAGTTTCTGTCGATTGGGCATTAAACCCCAGTTCTCATCTATAAGCCTGTACTATTCAGACCAATACAACATGGATTATCCATGCAAGCTCCGTTTCTTGTCGCAACATATTGCTACTTTCATTTCCCGCGTTTCATCTTGGTTAATTCCGTTTTAATTTCCAGTCTGTTTTGTTAATAGACGACGAATTTCAACTTTCCACTTCAATTAACCTCTCCCCCCTAAAAGAGAAAAACTGAGAACGAATAGCTCTAGGATAGGCTTACCAATACAATTTATGCCAAGGTGAATAGAAACGCCCTTTACAGATTGTTTGTTGTTTTTGTTTTGTTATATAATCGTAAATTCGTGAAAAATGATACGGTAAAAGTAATAATTTAGTAACACTATTCATTTGGAACGGGGCACATACATTGTAATTATTACAACTGTCACAATAATAATACAGAACAAAAATCTGTTTACTCCTCAAATTAGGTGTTCGGAAGAAAATATCATAATCATTAAAAGATTCGAAATCAAGTATACGTGAGTAGACAATTTTCTACAAAATAAAAATATCCAATAGAGAAAATTACTCACCCGTACGAAGAAATAAATTATTTCCAAATTGGCTGAGGGCAACAGGTGCGAATACTCCCGCAAAAGCACCTAATCTTCGCTTGAAGTCTTGAGATGTGTTTGTTTCAGGGTCATACGATTTGGCCAATGTTCCACAGAATATGGACATCAGGCGTCTTAGCCATTTTTCATGTGGCAACAGTGGCAGGTTTTCATTTGAATTTGCTTTCTGAAGCTCGACACTCTCTAGCTGAATACAACTATCACTTTTTGATACTCTAGCAGAAGAGATGGCTGATGACGGCATCGATTCCCGTCTGATGGAGCAAAAACTACTGTATCGATTCATTGTTACTCGGTAATCAAATAAAGCTTTCTGGCAAATCACTTCCAAATTCACTTCACTTTTAAACGGCGTTTGCAAATTGTACAACAAACAACCTTATCAAACTGCTTGAAGTACAATTTCCCTCGATCGACATAAACACTGCAAATACCAGCACGATAAGCCAACTAAATTATTCCACGCTAAAAAGTATCGTCTGCATTCACGTTTTCAAGTAGTTGTTTTCACAAGCGCGAGAGCAGCTAGTCACTAGCTCTCACGTTGGGCTAAGGTCTTATTTCATGTAAATATCTCCCTTTTCATAAATAAAACGAAGCAAATCTCACACCTGAAATTTTTATGAATCAGTTTTATGCCTTAAAACATAAGACGTGTTGAATGACCCCCTGTAACCTGTCAATCAGTCAGCTGTCAATCAGCCGGAGGGACCGGTTATTGTTCTGTATTAGAAAAGCAGTACATTTCTATAGGATTCATTATAATCGAGAAAATACATATACGATACTTATTTTTATTGTTATGACTAGCAATAGAAAATCTGACACGCATGACATATTTCTGTCACTGACTTTATGTAGGAAAATAGATGATATATTATGTCATTAGTCAATGGCAGCTTTCATATTTTACTTTGATTGAATCAAGGTCTGTTTTCATATTATTTCGTGATCACTTTATTCCTTATTAGTATATAATATCTTAAAACCGTTGAACATATATGAAGACAAATTAAATTTCCAGACCATACATTAAAACGTCGCCTTATCGAAAAGCAAAAGGTGCAAAAATAAAAATCGATTTCTGTCTAAAGTTCCAATTAAATTCTATTAATTTCATATCATAATACGATAGCATCTAACCTATAACATGTTTTCGATTTCCTCGTCAATATTACTACTCCAAAAACACCTTTTCTGCCCTTAATTTTGTTAAATTAAAATGCGAAATAGTCGTTTTTTCATTGTATGCATTTTAAAACAGAGAAATTATGGATAGGAGCAAACAAAATAATTGGAGAAATAACATTTTGTACTATAATATAGCACAAAATGTTATTTCTCCGGGTTTTATATACCAACCCAATAAAAATTTAATAAAAAAACATCTTTTGATACAAGTTCTTTTTTACTTGAGCTTGAGTTTCATTTTATTATTTAATGTGCACTATGCCTATACTCGTATAAAATTTTAGTGCATATTAATAGTTACTTTTCCTTAAATCTGATGTTATATATAGAAAAATAATTATGCGTGTCTAAACTACCCCATATACAGAGAATAAGGAGCACGTATATCGCATTTGAATGGATCAGGGGCAAATTTTAAGGGTATAGGGTATAAAATAAGCCTATTAATTACTGCAGTGTCTGACAATTTAAAATCAAAATATTGAGAAATTCAGAAGGCTCGTCAGATGTTTTTAACGGGCGCAATTTATTTACCAATACAACTATATTTTAGAATACATAAGACGAACCCAACTTTACTGACCGTTATTTTTCTATATACTGTCCAACGAGGCAAATCACCGCCCCGTATACGTGGTAATAAACGTGGAAGAAGACAATTTGCGAAGTCGTGTAATGAAAGCTATAGCTGTATCCCTACTTAACGCACAATCATGTAATTAAGTGCTGGATATTGCTGATCTTGTTATTGATGAGGCCGCCCATAGGCGTACGGGCTCGATGAATGTTAGGGGGGCAGAACCTGAAATGCCCGGAAAAATTGCGGGTTACAGAGGCCCCCCCCCCCACCCCAAGAAAATTTGGAAAATGTGACGGCCACAAACGCGTTTACTTGCTATTCCAGTCCCTGAATACAGCAAATGGTCTGATATAGCTAAACTTCGGTGGCTGACTCAAATTCCATTCAACTAATCAATCGTTTAGTTCACGGAGACGGGACCGCAGGGAGAAATTTTTGAAAATTTAACTGCCGCAAAGGTGTTTTCCTGCTATTCCAGCCCGTAAATACAGCAACTCAAATGTGGTCCAATACAGCCTACCTGCTGGCTTACCTGAATCCCAAACAACCAATCAATCATCGCGGGGTATGGGGGCTTCGGGCTCCCCGAGAAAATTTTGAAAATTTAACCGCCGCATGATGTGCGTTTTTCTGCTATTTTAAGTTTCCAGTCGTTTTGTAACCGAAATCCCACTCTATGCCGACCTGAATTCCAACCATCCAATCGAACTGTTGCAGCTGCATTCACAAATAATAATCGATGGCCGAAAAATGTCGCACGACAAAGCAAAGTGGCTCCAGACAAAATGATTTAATCCATATTCGTGGTATTCAATTAAAAGAAAGGTAAAATTAGTGTTTTATTAGATTTCGGCACTCTATTTTGCCAACTAAATGAAATAATAATTTTTGTTTTCACTTTACCCGTCTGCCCGAAAAGTCGGATTGCCCGAAAGTTAGGGGGTGGTGGGGGGGGGGCACGCTGGACCCCTGACTAGCACGCCTTTAGACATTGACATACAAAACACGAAATTTAAACATACATTATGGAAAAGCTAAATCTGCTTATTGCAGGTCTTTCTTTAGGCCCGAAATGTTATCTAAATTATTAGTTAGACATTAATTAAGTTATCCAGAATCTCGAAGTCATCGCTAGCCTGCTCGATTTCCATTCATGATTTAATCACGTGTAGAAATATTGTCATTGAGACGACACTGTTTTCAAATTTATAGACAAGAGGTAGAGAAAAATGATGGCATTACATTGAATTAATTAATGTCTTTGGCAAGTTGTGGGAGTCAAACATATTATCTAATATTTGATTGGACGAGACTTTGGAGCACAATAACCCTCCTTCTAATTGAGGTAGAATGTTCAAACTTGATGTAGGCGTTCATGATGCCTTGATGGAGTTCGATGATAAACATTGTCTGCTTACGGTAAGCAGAGATAAGCATTCTGATTGGTTGATGCTTTGGGGTCCGACAACTTTAATTAAAGTAGCTAAGTCCATAATTCAATATCATCCAAAATCTTCGACATTGAAAACACGAGTGTTTTTGCAATTTAAATCAGCATTGGTGTTGTGGTCTTACCTGGAAAAGATGGGCTTCTGATATCCAATATTTAAGACAAAATAAACATTTTACCATTGAATCGTGTACCATAATGCGTTTCAGCGCCATTTGTAACAAGGTGCTCAAAGAATGAGGCTAGACATATTCCACAAGTCATGTCAAACGGTGATGCCATATTCTTATTTGGAGAGCATGCGCAATATATACTGTCGGTGTTGACTGGAATAACCAGACGCTAGAAACTGTCTTTCGGTTGAGACTTCTGGCGTATTTCGCCGAACATAACTGATGACAATTCACAGTAAAATGGAAACGATTGAATGCAAAACAGTTTATATAAATTCATATTACATTATTGTATGTGTTGCGACCCATTTGTGCCAATTTCTAGGCCCAAAATATTAGCGATTTAGCTCCTTTAAGTGAGAGTGATGAAACTCCCGAGTATAGATTGATTATATCATTACCTTGACCAAGTTCGATAATGAGATATTTCTGCTTAGGCTAAGGAGCGATAAGCATTTTGATTGGTCAAGACTTTGTAACATAACAACTCTGCTTTTAATTGAAGTAGAATGTTTAAACTTGATGTAGATGTTCATTAGGTGAAAACATTTCAAGCCAAAGCTAAGCAGAGCTAAGCAATTTCATTGGTCGATGCTTTGGGACAAGATAACTTTGAATCTAGAGAGAGTGATGAAACTTAGTGTATAGTTGATAATCAGTTTGATTGCTTGATACTTTTGAAAAAAATAAATGTGCTATTAATTAGTATGTGTCATCTATTTATTTTGGGATTTCGGCGGGGGACATCAGCCTCACCGTTGGCTTGTTTTATTTCAATAATTCGCTTGCGCGTAGGGGTCTTTAGCAGTGGGAGGAAACCGAGGACCCGGAGAAAACCCACGAGGTTGGACAGGCGATCCTACTCCTTGTCACGTACAACCGGGGAATCGAAATCACGCGTTGACTCAATGACAGGTCTTATGATACATCGCGCACGTGCTAACCATTCGGCCATACAACCCCCCCGGATTACGAAGCATGGGATATCCGGGAGTAAATGGTGGTCCCAACCAAGCCTCCCACCCTCCCAAAAATAGGTTAAGTTTATCCTAAAATTGAAATAAATAAAAATATTATTGGTTATTTTTTTTACTTGAATAAACAATGTTGATTAAACAGAAAAGTACTTATTTCAAATCTCTGCAAGCGCAATGGTTAGAAATTCATAATGTTAGATATTAAACTTCAATCAAATTATTGTTTGTAAGGCATTTAGTAAAATAACCGGCAATACTATATACCGGAAAACACCATTTTATACTGAATACCGGAAAACACCGTAAAAACACTAAATACCGGAAAACACACTAAATACCGGAAAATACCCTAAATAGGTAACCCGGGGACTGGCACCCTAAATAGGTAACCGGGAGTCTGGTCCTATGTGTGCCTGGGTTAGGGTTAGGGTTAGGGTTAGTTTCCGGTTTATAGTTTTGCCCTTCTCCGGGTTATCTATTATGGGTGTTTTCTGGCATTTAGTGTGTTTTCCGGTGTTTTCCGGTTGTTTTCCGGTGTTTTCCGGTATATAGTATATCCCTAAAATAACATTGAACAATTATATAATTTTGGGTGCGCATTATAAATATACACTAGATATAAGTCAAGGAATTCTCCCTATATCTATATATAATCAATATAAAACATCGTCTGCTATAAAAGCTGCTGTGCTATGAGCGTGAATCATTCGCGTTGACGTAACGAAACTGTACAATACTATAGCGGCATGTAGAAGTCAGATGTTTCAATACAAATATTTTGAGATTTGCTTATTCAGTTCAAACATTGTGTGTGGGTGTGGGGGGCACGCAACGGCAAGTTTCGGGCTGCTGAATAGGTTTCATGCATGCATCATGCAACCAATACTTCGAACTTATCCGAGATCACTTGATATTTCATCTAATTCAGACAAAAGTCGTGGCCTCTAAAGGGTCCACAACCAATTTTAACTGGAACTAAAGACCAGGTTTCCACTAAAATCGGACTCTTCCGCGATTGCTGTACAATAAACATGTTTGGACGTTATTTAAAATCGAATAACAATAGTGGCCTCTAGACGGTTCACAAGCTATGTACGCTATTTCCGTACAATCACGGTAAATATTCTAGTAAGTTACGGTCCGATATGTGCCAAAATAGAACCCATCCGTGATCTTCGTGATATAAACATATATTACATATATTTTAAGTTCTTTAGAATGGAATGAAAATTGTGATCTGTATAA